GAGAGAGAGAGAGAGAGAGAATATGGATTGAAAATGAATTAGGGTTTAAAAAATTAGTATTATAATATTATTTAAGTATTTAATTCATACTTGATTTTTGATTAGATGAACCTTGGACCTGAATTTTGAATTTGAAAGTTTAAACCACTGGTTTTTTGTAATTTCCTCAAGTTTAAATGTAGGGTTTTGCTTAATTTTCCCTTATATAATAGGCCAATGTTGCTGAGATCCAATTTTCCCCAAAACAGCAGTAGTGGCCCGTTTAGAATTAGCTAAGCTTACTCCTTCCACCAAACCTAAACCATTTCGGCCGGAACGTTTGTTTCCAATCAACCCAAATTGAACCCAGCTATTAAGACTTGAGTTAGGTCCAATATTGGGGAGCCCGAGGTCCAAAATTTCCGCATAAACTGACCCAACATCTGGCCCAATAAAATTTTGACCCATTACGGTACGCACTACTTTGGCATCTTTAATTGGGGCAAAAGCAGAGAGAGAGAGAGAGAGAGAGTAGGGAATTGGAACGATCTCTAATCAAACCACCTGACGCTCTCGCTTAACCTCTAAAAAGGTCCGTCCTTTCATTTCTTCTTTATTATTTCCACAGTTAATTGTAATTAGCATTTCAATTTTTCTGTTTTTCAAAGAATTAAATAGTTTTGAAGATCTTATGTTTGTTTTGCTCAGCTAGAAATTTGTATGGCGCCTTTCAAATTGAAATTTTTTTTCCTGTTCTAAAGAAGAATATGTTTTTTTTTTAAAAAAAAGTATTTTGAGTATTATTTCTATTCTGGAGTTATATGTGATTCTTACGATATTATGTTGTTATCGGATTGTCCAATTGCGAAGCTGATGTATGAAAACTGTTTGATAAAATGTGTGAAATGAGAACAGCTACATTTTTCAAGCAATTCTGTGATTAAATCTACAGTTCATTGACGCATAATTCATTTTTATTGCTGAACGGATGTTGTCAATATGGGGACATGAATACATGTTTTGTGCACATCCTTGCTTTTGGGCAAGAGAAAAGTCTTCAACAATTCTAAAGAAGTTACTTGGAATTGATTAATAAATGAAATTAAGACCGTAGGATAGACCAAAATCTAGCAATTTTCTAATCTTTCTTTCCAAGATCAGAAATAATGTCTTTCTGGAGCCTATGAGATTGCTGATTTGCTTTATTTACGTTCTTCCAGTATTGGATGGTACATGACTGTACAATGGACAGATTTGTAGCTTCTATATTATTCTTCTAATGTGGTCCAGTATTGTATAGTGCAGCTCAGTGACAAGCCATTCTAAGGACATTAGGAAAACTCAAGCAAATAGGATGCCTAAAGCCTAGGGAATAGAAGGGTTTACATTCCCGATGGTTACCCAACTAGCACGTAGAAATCTGCGAGCATTCTTTCCTGGAAATTGGATATGGCACAAACTATGCCTTACTGTTTCCATGCCATGGCCGAAGGCATGCGCGATACTCGATGTTTAGTGCAGATTCGGGAATCAACGCAGCGACATCCGTGCCATATCCAATTTTCCAGAAAGGATGCTCACAAAATCCATGGTGGTTATAATGGGCGTAAACATAATTACTTGTTAACAGTGCTTAAATTTTTATTCGAACTTGTTCATTCCTTAGTATGAATTTACCTCTTTCAAATGTCTGAACCATTTGATTATCGGTGAATTTGCTTGAAGCTGGCCCAACAAGGGTAGCACCCCATATAGAAATTCTGTTTGTTTTTTATTATTATATGGTTAGCTGAGCGAAAAATAGATCTAGCTCAGCCTATGAAAAACCCATTGAACCACTGCCCTAGGCCCAATGCCAATGGCCCATATCTCCACTCTCCTAATTTCCCACCCTACCATCGACCAGACTCCCAATCTTCACTCTAAACCCAAACCCCTTCACCATTTCACATGCTTGCCTCCTCTAGCCTCAGCCAGCAGTCCTCCATAGCAACGGCCTGATGTCAATGATTTCTTTCTGCTTCTAGGCTCCTACTTCAGCCAACAGCCGCAGCATTTTAAATGAAATGATGAATTGATTTTTTTTATTTTTTTATTTGCCTCCAGGCTCCACTGCCTCAAGGCTTTGCTGCTCCACTTCTTTGAGATTTAGTTTGAGCACGTTATTTTAGTTCATTTATTGATATTTTTTGTGTTCCTCATGCTCGGCAGAAATTTTATTTTTGAATAAAAGTTCAGTAATCCCAAGCTTGGANCTTCTTTGAGATTTAGTTTGAGCACTTTATTTTAGTTCATTTATTGATATTTTTTGTGTTTCTCATGCTCAGCCGAAAATTTATTTTTGAATAAAGAATTCAGTATTCCCAAGCTCGGAAAGTTGATTTATTGAAGTATAAAGATGGATTTTCGCAGAACTTAAATTTTTTAAGGGTCCATTTGATTGTAAGGGTGGAAAATGGGTGGAAAGAAAATGAATTCCAGAGAAAATAATTGCTTAGAATTTGTTTTCCAGGGAATTGTTAATTAATGTGTGTTTGATTTGTATAATTTTTCACCTGGAATATTTTAAAATTTTGGATCTTTTAATATTCGTTTGACTTTGTTTTATATGAAAATTTTCCATTAAAATGATAATTTTTTCCACAATTGGTTATAAAATTTGTTTTCATTGCCAAAAGGTAAAAAAAAAAAAAAAAAAAAAAATTATTTNTTACATGGAAATTGTCCATTAAAGTGATATTTTTTTCTACACTTAGTTATAAAATTTGTTTCCATTGCCAAAAAAAAAAAAAAAAAAGGAAAAAAAATTGTTTCCTAAAAAATCATTTTTTTCATCAAAATTTAGTATTCGTTTGGCTTCGTTTTACATGGAAATTGTCCATTAAAGTGAAATTTTTTTTTACGATTGAATGATTGATTATGAAATTTATTCCAATTGCCCAAAAAAATGGAAACCAAATTCTCATCAAAAAGGTGAGAATTGATTTTCACCAAAAACATGGAAAAATGGGCGCGTGGCTGGAAACCAAGAAAATGATTAGACTAGAAAATGTTGCCAATCACACATGCATTTTTTTGAAAAAGATGGAATTTAATTTCCAATTCCATGGAAAAAAGGCATTATCAAACAGGGCCTAAGTATATTCTGAATCGACTGGTTGTGTGGATATGAAATTGAATAATTAGCTACTTGTATTCAAGTGTAATGTTGAGATTTTCTTCCACACCTCTTTACTTTGATTAGATATTGTTACTGTAATCCTATAGTTTACCATAGAAGAATTTTTTGTATTCACTAATTTCTTAGTAATAGACTTGAGGTGGACTAGATGGGCAAAGCCAAAAGGGGCCTAAAAACCACACTTAG